TCACGGTGGCTCTTATCAGCTTTACCCAGGTAAAGTCCCTCGTGGTCTGTGCGCCTTGTCGTGCTTGTCGGGGGCTGGCTGACCTGAGCAGGCTGCAGGTATGTTTGCTCAGGGGGCTCAGGGGGCCGGGGGCAGGTAGCCCAGGATCCTGACCTCGAGTTGTGATTTACACGTTTAAGGGGCTTGAGATGATGGTTTGGACGGGATGTTCCGGTGAGGTAATGGGCTAAAGCCTTGTGGTGCGGAATTAGCTATAAGATTGTAATCCCAGGCGTTGTCGACATTATTTCTAACACGTAACGCGCATGTTTATCCAGCCAGTATAAAGGTGGGGGCTTTTCCGGTTTTCAAGCAAATCCGAAATGGACTTTAAAAACTTTCTCACCGGGAAAGCATTTCTTTGACTCAAACTGGCCAATTGAAAGAGAAAAGAAACAAAAGAAACCAAGCGCAGGGACTGTTCTCTAGCATGATGCCTTAACGCGGGACTGTGGGCATCCTCGGCAGAGCTGCCGTTTTCTCCTTGCTCGGAGCAAGCAGGAGCCTCAGGCAGTGCGGTGGACGCACTGGGCCTTCTCCTTTCCTTCTCCTGTCTGGCCCTGGCCCTCAGGATCAGTTCTTTCTCAAATGTGCACTGTTGTCTGGGCTGGAGAACAATTCCAGAGCGAGTCTGAATGTGGAGTTAGGAAATTCAGACTTTGACGGTGGGTATCGAGAGCGAGGTGCCGGCCCCTGAGTGGTGCGGACGCATGGAAGGTGCTGGGATTTGAAGCCCACTTGAGCAGCACCCACTCCCCCGCCCCAGGGCCCCGGCACCCACCACGTGCCTTCAGTCAAAGTTGCTAGGAGACCTTCTGGTTAGGAGAGCTTGGGATTGACGTGCTTTGTGCAGCCGGCAATTATCTCTGATTTCCCCACTTTGAAGACTGTGCATGTTCCTTGAAATCTGGCTGTCGGGAGGGAAATGGCGAGTCCGTGGCCTCAGACAGTGTGTGGCCTGCCCTGCGGGGGTCGGGGAGCGGCTCCTTCGGGGTCCTTGTGTCCCATATTCCCTCTCTAAGCTCCACTGGCTCTGGAGTTGAGGCCCAGCGGGCATTCTGATGGTTTCAATGAGAAACAAAACAGAAGGGAACAAAAGGAGACCGTGGGAAGGAGCCTCAGCTTTTCCTCCCGCGGTGCAGGGAGCCTGGCGGCAAGATGACTCTCCCCGACTCTGCGGGGCCCTGGGAGAGCCAGCCCCTGGGGCCTGCGCGCCTTCAGGAGGAGTGGGTTTGCGGCCACGGGGACTCTCCCCTTCATCTCCTGCGCCTGTGTCTGCACGGGCCGGCGTGCGTCTCGGCCTGCCTCCCGCCGGACTGTCAACACTGGGGACCCCAAGGTCTGGGGGCGGCACGACATGTGGGGCGGGTGGGGCATCAGGAGTGTCCTAACTCAATTTTAAAGTGCCTTTCTCCACTGGACTTTTAAAGTGTCAGTTGTTGATCTGTGAGTCTTAAAAAAATTAGTATTTGCCAGGTTTCATAAAAATGAGCTCAGTCAACAGATGGGTCACCTTTCACTTCCAAGTTCTGTTGAGCCGTGTCCTCCCTCATCCACTCTCATGCTCGGGCTGCGGCCCACAGCACCTGCCCAGGGCGGGGTGCCAGGCGCCCCTCCTCGCTGCTGCCCCACGTGCCCTGGGAGTGAGGAGGGCAGGTGTTCCAAATCACTCTGACGCTGCTCTGTTGGAATCCAGATGCCAGGACACCAGAAAGCGCCACCACCCATGTTGGGGTCCAGCTGCTGTGTCTGCAGTTTGCAGCCGGTCTTCCTGTGTGCCCGCCTGCCCTCACAGCCCCAACCACCTGCACCCTCCTGTGGGCAGAGCTCGGGCCGCCCTGTCACTCAGCCAGGCCGATGGACCTGTGAAGGAGTGTCTTCCTGACCTTCCCTTCTTCTTCCCTGCCCCCAGGGTACAGTCTGTGCTCCTTGGCCCACCATCTCCCCCTAAGCCCAGACACACTGGCTCTGAGCCATGCCCCTTCTGCCCCAGGGCCTTTGCACATCTGGCCCCTCATCTTTCCCAGCTCCTCTGAGGCCAGTTACCTTCTGTTCACCCCTCAGTTCTCAGTTCAGCCTTTATTGCCTCAGGGAAAAAAAGGCTGGAGGAAGAATGTTTTGGTGCTCATACTTAACAGTGTGTTTTGAAAATTATCTCAAGCCCCCACTCAGTGACCGACCACACCATTCTTCCAGTTGTCTTTGGTTTTCAGATCTTTTTCTTAGTGATGTGTAGGTGTTCTTGAATACAAAGAAAATGAGTCCTTCATCTGTGTAATGGATTGTATCTCCCCACGCTTTGTCTTTTTTGCTTATGGTGTTTTTAAACTTTTATTTCATTTTTTATTTTTCACCGAGGTACAGTTGACAGGTGACGTTATGGGGGCTGCAGGTGTATGACATGATGGGTCGGTGTCACATATTCACCACACACACACACACACACACACGTGCACGTGCGATTTTCTTCTTGGGAACTTTTACGATCTACTCTCTTCCCCAGTACCCCCTGCAACACTGTGTTGGGAGCTACGCGCACCACGTCCCAGGACTTGTTTGTCTTGTAACCGGAAGCACGTACCTTTGACCCCCGCACCCCTCCCCGCCTGCCCCGCCAGCCCTGCCCTCAGAGTTTGGTGTCATCCGTTTATCCGTCTTGTCTCTCACGGCTCTGGGCTTGCGTCTTCCCTTCCAGAGTTTCTCTAATTTGATGCTCTTCCATTGAAACCTTCAGTCCAGGTGAGATTTATTTCAGCATCTCTCAGGTGGTTTTCCAGTTGTCCCCACACCGAGTGGCCTTCTGTCCCAGTCACGTGTCCACGCTGCCCCCCCCCCCCCAGTGGGGACATGGCTGTGGTGTGGCGCCAGGTGGGGCTGGCCCCGCCTCCTGGCTCTGGTTTGGTTTGTTTTCCCAGCATTTCACGTTTAGTTTTCCACGTGAACTTTTACACCCCGCTCGTCTGGTTCTAATAAAATATCTCTTGGGAAATCTGTTGGGATTACGTGTTCATTTAGGGAGAATTAACATCTGTGGGGCTCTGCCCCTCATTGCTACAGTTACTGGATACAAATCAGGGAGAGCGGGGTTGTGTGTGAGTGTGAAGCGGATCTCTTGCTCGGGGCGTTCTGCACGTGGGGATCGTGCAGCAAGGCGAGTCCAGGTGGTCCGTCGGCGTCATGGCGGAGTTGCTGAGTCGTCTGAGGGCCGTGCTCGCGCCCCTCGCGGCTGGCCATGCTGTGCTCGGCGTTTAGCAGCAGGGGGTCTGTGCCATGTGGTGAGCTCTGGGCTGGGGCCTTCCGCTGCAGTCCTCGTGAGTAGTGGTGGGAGATTCTGTCGCGAGGCTTTCATCTCAGAAGTGACATGTACCGCATGGTGGAGTCTACTGAGCAGCTAAGAAAATTAAAGCTGTCCTTCTCTCATCTTGTTTCATCTTCTGAATCTTATTTAAACTTTCTTCTATAGCAGTATAATATTAGATTACTTTTTGACTTTCTAGTTTTCTTTTCTTTTCCAATCTAAGTGCTTTTCCACCTTTGAGTGATTCCTGCCCAAGTGGCTTCTAGTTACCACATGGGTCCCCTTTGACCAAAATCTGGGCTCTGCATTCTTGGCCCTCTGTTCTCTGGGTTAGCGGGGCTGTGCCATGGCCTCCTTGCGGCCCTCTGGGCTCCTGGTTGTGGGCATGGCGGCCACAGGCCAGGCCTGTGTCCACTGCTCTCTCTGCACAACCGTGAGTGGGCGTCAGCCTAAAGGGTAGCAGGGCCTCACGCTGCCTCGCTGGTCCTCACTTCCCCCACTTCCCCCACTGCTGGCCCCTCGTCACTAAGAAGCTGCATTTCCAGTTGGCCTAGAGCTCGAGCTAACCAACTAGTCCCCTGGGCTCCTTCCCGCCACCAGCCCCGACGGCCGCCTGTGTGCGGCGGGACAGGAGCCCAGGATGTAGCAAACGAGCCCTGTTTCATTAGTTAGCTTTGCTCCTCCAAGCCTCACACCCACACGGGTTAGGGATTCCCCTGTCCTGTGTCCTCTGTGATTGGCGGGCCGTGGCTCGGTCCTCAGTCTCCTTGGTGTTAGGGCCCGCGGAGGGAACAGCCCTGTGGGACGTGCTGTTCGTATAGAAGGGGACGCGTCCATGGCAGAATGTTTGTCCTGGGTCCTTCCCTTGGGTTGCGCCGACCAGGCCTGCCCATGCGGGGACCAGGAGCTCCCCGCGCTGCTCACACGAGGTGGGAGACGGTGACATGGGGCTCCCCGAGCACCTCCCCTTCCCTTTGTGAAGGGGGCGGATTATTCAGGAACTCGCCTAAAAGACAAAGAAACTCATGCTATTTGGGGCTATTTTGTAGATGCTTGGGAGCCACCTCCTGCGGCATGTGTCATGTTTTCCGCTCTGGGGTGGCCTCTAATGAGTTGTCACAACACGTGTGGTTAAATAGGACGTTTGGACGTTATGCCACACATTCTGCATCGAGACTGTGCTCGTGCAGAACAGGGCACACGTGTGAGCGCGTGCTTTCACACGGCAGACGTTCCCTCCAGACGCAGAGCGGCGCCCCAGGTCCTGGACACCCCGTCTGTGCCCCTTGCCCTCTGCTCACCCCATGGAGACCCGGCGCCTCCCGAGCCTCACACGTGGGATCACCTGGGAGCCCCGTGGTGTCTGCAGCGCGCGCTCAGCCACGGGCTTGGGGCGTGTGGCTGCGGTCGCCGCTCTCCCTGCTCCGTGTGCGTGCGCGTGTGGCCGTGTGAGGACTGGGGTTGGCCGTGTTCCACGCCACGTCCCCTGTCCCCAGAACAGCGCCAGGCTGTCGTAGGCGCTCGGTGCGGACTGTTGGCCGAGTGCGTGTCTTAGGGAAGGCGCGTCGGGGAGAGCCCCGCCGCCCCCCGGGAAGGCTGGCCGGGCCCTGCCGGGCAGGTGCGGAGGACACCCATGCAGGTGAGCTGTGTGCTGGCCCCGCAGAGCTGACCGGCGCCGACCTGAAGGACTGCGTGAGCCACCACAGTCTGAGCAGCAATGCCAGCCTCCCAAGCGTGCAGAGCTGCCGGCGTCTGCGAGAGAGGAGAGCCGCCAGCTGGGCCGTGTCATTCGAGCGCCTCCTGCAGGACCCTCTTGGGGTTCGGTACTTCTCTGTGAGTGAGGGGGCGTGGCCGGGCGGGGGGGGCGCGTGCACCCTCTGCTGGGGCTCCTCAAGCAGGACCCGGGGCTCCGACCCCGAGCACGGAGGTGGTCACCGTGGCACCCTCCCGAGGGGGTCTCCCCCTGCCCACCTGCTCGGCACGCTCGAGGCCAAGGGGTCGGGGGGGGGGGCCTCTGCCCAGCCTGGCCCGGGCTCTGCATCGGGGGTCTCCCCGCAGCAAGGGGCACGGGAGCTTCTGGTAAACGCTGGGAGGCAGGCTACATGTGGCGAGGCCGGCTAGGGGGAAGGGGCGCCATGCCCTTGGGAGCCCACAGCGGTCCTTGAAGTGCACGCGGCTTTGCGGTCTGCTGTGCGTGGCCCCAGGTGAGTTAGGGAGACGGGCTTATGAGCCCCTGGCGTCCGTGAGGGCGAACACAGGGAAGGAGTGGGAATGCAGCAGCGGCTTGGTCATGTGTGAGCGTTCACTGATGGCGTTTTTCTTAGGATTTCCTAAGGAAGGAATTCAGTGAAGAGAACATTTTATTCTGGCAGGCCTGTGAATACTTTAACCATGTACCTGCACATGATAAAAAAGAGGTAAGTGTGTTCACGCCTGGAGCGTGGGATGGTCTCACTACGGGCTAGCGTCTAGTGCAGCTTGAGGTCGACGTAAAAACGTCCTCATATGATATCTAAACGCTTCTTTTTCAGGATAAGTTTCTTAACATATGTGATCCTTCATGTTGCGTGAACGTGGTGTGCGTAAACGCCCTTGGCGTTGATCAGCCCATGTGCTGCCACTCAGTGTGTTGAAAGGGGGACCGAGATCCCCAGACAGAAGAGCCCCTCACGATGTCCATTTGTACGGCCTCGCTGCACGCGCCGCACGCGCCGGCCGCTAAGGCCCCCGGGGCCGGTCCCGGTCCATGCTGCAGCCCACTCGAGGCCGTCCGTGGTCCTCCACCTGCCACACACGAGGCCTCTTATCTGCTTGCCACGCTTGGTGTGCACGGACTGAGCTCCCCCTTCGCTGGGGCTGCGTGCGTGAGGCTCCGCACACGGGACGGCGCCCCTGGGGGCCCCCTGGACGCAGCACCCGAGTCTCTGGAACAGTTCCGTAGTCCACTGAAAAAATTCAGGGAGGAGCCTATTTGGTGGAAAGTTTTGTACTGGCTTGGACCTTTATTTATTTATTCAAGCAAGAATTATTTATTGGGCCCCAGAAAACACATCTCCAGTGCCTGGCCCCGTGTCCGGCTCTGGAATACGGAGTGACACGGGGGCTGTGCCCCGCGCGCCCCGCTCACACACGTGTCCTTCAGCTTTCCTACAGGGCCCGCGAGATCTTCAGCAAGTTCCTGTGCAGCAAAGCTACCACTCCCGTCAACATCGACAGCCAGGCCCAGCTGGCTGATGACATTCTCAGTGCTCCGCACCCCGACATGTTCAAGGAGCAGCAGCTCCAGGTGATGTGCCTCAGTTTCCCACAGGGACTCCTCGCCAGGGTTCTCTCCTTGTGGGAGAGCGCTCTCGCGAGCCGGCCAGCAGCCGGAGAGGAGGGGTGCCAACGGGTGTGGTGTGGCCCGAAGGAGCCCCGTGTCACCCGCCGGGCTCTCGGGGAGCAGGCTGTGGTGGCCTCTCCTTTGTGTGATGTCACAGATGCGTGGATGTCATGTGCACGTAGGTGCGGAGTTGTTCAATTCTAGGACGACGCTGTGATTAAAAGGGTACGTGGGACCAAATATGTTTTAGAGCCCAGGTCCCGCTGGCCCCCTCGGAGATGACTTCTGTTGCTAAATCACACGAATAGTGTGGGAAAATGGAGGGAAGTACTTCCAAGGTGGTTCTCACTTCCTTCAGATCTCTGGTTACTCTGGGTCTCATTCTTACTTAACGAAGTAGAGCTTCTCCGGGACTGCACGTTCCTAGCTGCTTCCGGAGCTAAAGCGTGTGGCATGTGCTCTGTAGATCTTCAACCTGATGAAGTTCGACAGCTACACCCGCTTTCTCAAGTCCCAGCTGTACCAGGAGTGCATCCTGGCCGAGGTGGAAGGCCGCTCGCTCCCCGACGCGCTGCAGGTCCCCAGCAGCCCAGCCTCCAAGCACAGCGTCAGCTCGGAGCACTCCAGCGTGTCCACGCCAAAAAAGGTACCTGCGCTCCGGCCGCATCCTCTCAGCGAGGGGAGCTGCCCTGTGGGGAGGGAGAGCAGAGGCCGCTGGGATGCAGTGCCCCCCCCGGGGACAACACAGCTCCCCCAGGACGCACCCTGTGCCCGTGGCTGGGGGTGGGGGTTCCGGCCGGCGGCAGAGTCGCCCTCACGCTTCGGGTAACGTTGAAATCATGTTATGTTAACGTCTCCATTGGATGGCAGCTGAGCGGAAAATCGAAATCAGGAAGATCCCTGAATGAAGAGCTGGGGGATGAGGACAGCGAGAAGAAGAGGAAAGGAGCTTTCTTCTCTTGGTCAAGGACCAGGAGCACCGGGCGGTCCCAGAAGAAGAAGGAGCACGGTGACCACGCAAACGGTTCGTGGTGTGCAGATGGGTGGCTGGGAGGTGGCCCGTTCGGGCGCAGACGGGGTGGTGGGGCCGGGCCGGGAGGGCGCATCTGGGGCGCGTGGAGTGCAGCGCTGTGTCCCGGGCGTGGCCCTTCTGGGGCGGGCCAGCCAGAGTGAACCAGGGCGGCTTTAGTGCCTTTTGAGAAAGGGGATGAGGGTGCATGCCAACCCACTCCCCCTCGGGTCAGGGCGCCCTGCAGGGGTGGGCCTTGCATCCCGTCCTCTCCTGGCCTCTCGTAGGAAACTGGGAGGAGAAGAAAAATACAAGTGCCCTACCTGTGCACCCGGACCGCTTTCTTCCAGGTGTGCGTAGGGTTATATGAGCCTTTGTAATTTCTTATTATTGTAAATCTGAAAGCTCACCTGTTCTAGATATTTTCTTCCTCGCTTTCTTTCTTGTGCGTAGCTCAGAAGATGGTGTGGGAGGGACAGGCTCGTCCTGGGAGGTAGGTCTGAGGGAATGAGAGCACTTTCTGGATAAGGCAGAGAGCTGACACCAGGCATGAAAAAGCACGAGGCGGAAAGGCCTCGGAAGGATTTTCTCCTTGAGGGATTCTCAAGAAAGGGATTGTTTTCCTGGAAATAACCCACAGGCTCCAGGCCT